TTCCAGTTGAATTTTAACTCTTAATTTAAGTAAAGTTGCAACTGGAATACAGAGTGCACATTGTAGAGGAAGAGAAGGAAAGAATGTGGCTTCATCAATAATAACTGCGGTGTCATTCAAAGAGAAATGCAGCCTCCTTGCTCTGTGTGCACTTTGTACAGATTTACTCTAGTGGCAGGTATATGTTCTTACCTGAAAGACAGAGAAAAATGAAGGGGCGGGGGGAGAAGGGTGGAAGTGGACTTTATAATATCTTTCCTGATGCTTGGAACTGAAAACTAATATACATTTCTCACAGAGTGGACATAAGAGGGCTACAATGCTTTAAAAATGCTTTTTCATACTTTAATGAGAGTTGATTTTTTTTCTTTTAGGTAATTATTTCCCACACTGTGGTCAGAAAATAATGGTAAGTGGTCTAATTGTGTGGAATTAACACTGTATTTACAATACTGATTCTGTCCCAAAAAGTGAAGAGATGTGGAGGGGAGCAAGAATGACCGTGTTTCACTGAGCAAATGTGCAAACCAGACACCAGATATCTTTTTTTTTTTTTTTCTTTAAGACTAATTGGATTTTCTGAAAGTCTGGCTCTCTGGAAGCCTGTTACATTCCCTGCACATTATGGATAAGAATTTCTGCAACCCATCCCTGAATGTGAAAGAGGGTGTTCATTTGCTACCCTTAATCCCACCGAATATTCAGCACCAACACCATTGAGAAACACTCATTTCCCAGGCTGCTACAAGCCCTGAGGCTGAAGCTGTTTCCTGTAGCCTACCAAAAAATATCCTTATGCTCCATTCCCTGAAGATGCTCCCAGGTTTCATCTTACCTAGCCAGGTTGTGCAGGGGAACAGAATAGGCTCTGGCTGTAGCCCAAGTGCCTGGGGCAAGAGGCTGCTGGGGGTGGCAAACACAGGGTTCATTTATGCCTGAGCCTTGGAAAGCCAGGCTGTGGCTAGGAGAGGGCTCAGGATGAGCAGGGCAGAGTCTGTGCTGGCACATGGGAACCCTCTCAGCAGAAGCAAACACTACACCCCGCTCTCCCAAAAAGAGAGGATGTGGTCTCTCCCCACATCCAGCCCCAGGTTAGTGTAATTTAACCCTATTTATTCTCCTGAGAAGCTGGTTTGCCCCTTAGCTCACTACAAATGAAAGGCAAGTGACAGGGATAGCTAATCTTCTAGATCTCCTATTTCTACTTCTTTGTTTTGTTAAAGTTTAGAGATTAAACTCTGTTCAAAGAAAGACATTTCGCATGTTCAAGTGACATCCTCAGAGCAGAAAGATTCCATTTGAAAATGTCTGAGACTTACAGAAAGACAGCAAAGTAGTTCTTCAATAAATACTTGCAAGGCAAATACAGACTGGGGTACTGATCCTGTGAAAGCAATTTTTATTTGGAGTTATTGAAACAGCTGCTTTCCGCATGAGATTAAAAGCTCCAGTCAAACATCTCAAAGTAATTTCTTATCTCTGCTTCTAAGAACTGTATTTGCTACAAGTGATGTCAGATGAACCTAGCAAGATGCAGTTAGCAAGAACTGGGGTGTGCCTCTGTGTATGTTGTGGAGAGATTTTTTTGTTAAGGATCATTTAATGGGAGTTTTTTATATTGGCAGTCATGTATTAAAGAAAAAAAAAAAAGAGAGAGAGAGAGAAGGAGAGAGACACGTACCTTCAAAATGGTAGAAATTAAAGTTTACTCAGCATGAACTAACAGTTTGGTAAAACTGGTTCTATGCATGCTTCCAGCAACAATGCTGCATTAAGTAATACTTGCCTTAAGTAAGGTCAGGAGTATGTTTAGCTACATAAAAGAGTAGTAGAGTGAACTGTTAAAAATCCAGTCCCTACAATCATCAGAAGTATAGGTCTGCTCTTTCCACATAAAAGAAAACTATAACAATATGGAATACCATTCCAGCATTTTTTGATTGTTTCTATTTGAAGTTATAATATGGGAAGAGACATTGCACAGAATCACAGAGCATGCCGAGCTGGCAGGGACCCACAAGGATCACCAAGTCCAACCCTTAGCCCTGCACAGGACTATCCTCAAGAGTCACACCACGTGCCCGAGAGTATCATATTTTTGGCAGCAAAAGAAAAAAAAAATGTTCTTTTTTAAAATGGTTATATTTGTTTTGGTGCTAAGAGATTATACTGGCAGTAAGAGGTGTGGTCATCCTTGCACCCATCCAGTTGTGGAGACTATTTGACATAAACACAAAGGATAGAAAGTTCTGGGGTGAATATATAGTTCCATCTTCAGACCTATGCTGAAATTCAAAAAAATCAGGCATATGTAGACATATATAAACTGAAACAACAGACTATATGAAAACATTGCCTGTAAACCACCTGTTCTACTTTTCCAGTACAGGAACATGGTTACATTTTCATGATGACTGTTTGGAAAAACTACATAACACAGTGTTTGTCATTATATATTTTTCATGTTTGTTTTATCACTTAGTAAACAAAAGAAAGTGTTATTACTACCAGTGAACATGCAAATGAGAATCTACCTTGTAAGACTGGTTGAGAAAGTGTAATTTTATCTACTTTTTTCTGATATTGCAAGGGACATGTGGCAATTACACAGGAAAAAAAATTACACAAGTGTGGTATATCTGTCAGACACAGAAATGACAGTAACAGCCCAAATGACTGAATACTTATGATGAGTTCCAAAACACAGCTAAACATTCTGATAGCTTTTTACCAGCTTTGGAACAGACACATGAACAACATTTTAAGACATCTTTTTTCTGTGTGCCTGACCAACAGACTGTGAATTCAAGAGAACCTTTTCCAGTTAATTCAGTGAGGTTCTGATGAGGCCCCCAGGTAAATTTGCTGTGTCAGTATATTCAAATCACTCAGCATCACATCTTACAACAGTATCAGATATTTCAGAGGGTTGTTTGTAACTGAATTCAGGAGCATGATAACTGAATTACTCATTTAAGATTAAGTGGTTGTCCATCTCCTTGGACAATCTTTACTTAATACTCGGAGCTATACTCAGAACAATGGCACTTTTGTACCTTTGAGTATTTAGGCAAATAAATTTTTAACTTCGTTACACTAACTAGAAAAATAATAAGAACATATAAAGCTCACTTAAAAAAGAAATGAAGATTGACAAAGTCGTGGCATATACAAATACATAGAACTATTAAATGCTACCTATCTCAAGTTTATTCTCTAGTTCTGATCTGTCAGTGAAAGTACATTACCTACCTCACTGAATGAATAACTAGGAAAAAAAAAAGTCATATTTAATTATTCCTCCAAACCTTGAATTATTCAATTTACAGGCAAAATAAAGCACAAAGCTATTCCATAATTAAATAAATAAAATAATTTAGCAAACAAGAAATTATATCAAAGATTGTTCTCAATAACAAAAAAATGAAATTGTACTTAGTTATTTTGAACAATTGAGCACAGTTCATAAAATCTGAGCATCATCTGGGTGGCATAAGAACTTTTTGATTAATTAAATTGAAACAAATCTGACATTAAGTAACATATGGATGCACGATAACCTGCATTTTGATCAGTTGCAGAGTGATGGAAAGGTTAACAGTAGGATTAATTCCAGACAGGACATCTGGGCAATATGTTTGAATCTTTAGGTTTGTGTCTAGAACTTGCACAGATTTCACATGGCTCATTAACTACACCCACAACAAAGTGCTCATTTAGAAAACTGCATCACAGTTCACACAAGACTTCAACACCAAATTGTTAGAAACAATTCATTCCACATAGTAACCAAATGATATTCAGATAACTACAGTGGGAAATATCAAGTATACCAAGGAAGCAGCCCATGAAGAATAATTTCTGTAGAATGTGGGTGTGTATGCAGGTAAAATGCAAAGAACTCTTGGGAATACTACAATGGAGTAAAGATCAACATAACAAGATCAAAATAATTTTGTCTTGCTACACATAAAAAGACCCAGTATTGACACAGTTCAGGTTTTTTTCTGAGCTGTGTTTTCTACTTCCTATAAAATCTCATTGACGTCAGCAAAAATGAGCCACCACACCGGATGTTAAGCACAACTCAATGCTGAGCTGAAACTCTTCTGATTAGCCTCTAATAAAAACAGACAACTATTTAAAGAAAGATGCACGACTGCTGCCCCCTCCAGCCATAAGCAAGATTCATTACAGGTGGACACTTTAAGAGGAGAGGAAGCCTTAGCAGGGAAGAAGTTCTACAATAACACAAGTGGCTCATTGGCTTAAGGCTTCCAGGTGTTTCCCTCTGCAAGAATCACAGGACTTTTCAACTGCCTTATTTCATAATTTTACATGGCATAAACAATCTTACCTTACCCTCCTAAGAGTCATGCCTCCACGGAGCAACTGCATTTGGATGGCACTCAATAAACTAAACTTCAAGCTGCAGATTCAAACTGAGATCTTTATTAAAATGCAATTTTCACTGAAATTACTGTAAGTTTTTTTTCCTGAAAAATTCCATCAGGATATAACTAATTTGAACATTTTTACAGAACATTCTTGAATGAGTGCATTATTACACTGACAGACCTGTTTGGAAAGCTAAATTCTTTTATTTGTATAGTATTATATTTGTGTTCATTTGTTTTGCGATTTTGTTTAAACTTCAGTATTTGACTTGATGTAATCTCTTCCTCAGTAATTTTTGGTAATAGAATGATAGTTCAAATTAAAGCAGCTGAAATATTCTACTTAAAATAATTACCAAACTTTATTAACAGTATATTTTCAGTGATTTCTGTATTTTTCCATTAAGTTAATTCAACCACATTGACTAGAAGGTTATTTCTTTTTCTTCCTACTGAGTCACATAAAACTCCTTTGAAATAGCATGAGGAGAATAATTAATAAATGCTAATAATGGAATGAATTGTCCCAGGAAAAGGTCGTTATGGCACATTGTTACACACTGCATCCTGTCTCTCCACTGTCTTGTTACTTTCATTCCTTACCTCTTTGTTGGCTCTGTCTGCTTGAACTAATGTTCCATTCAAACACGGCTCTACATAGTGGAGTTCTTCATTATACTATAGAGAGAAATACAAAATACGATGAAAAATTTAATTAAAAGCTTGGAAGATACAATTTAATTCAACGGTTTAGAACTGCAGTGAAACACTCACAGAAATCAAGAACAAAAGGATTTTGTTCATTTTTAAAAAATGGTTGTGTTTTTTTTTCCTTTTACATGATTCTTAATGCTTCAGAGGTTTATACTCCTAAAGGAATATTTAATTGAATGGATGGCAACACTTAGCTGGAGTTAAGGGTAGCTGGCAAAAATATCCTTCGAGTTGAAATCTGGATAATATGAAGAGGTCATGTTTGATACAGCACAATCAAAACTCCCAATTCTTTGCTACATACAAAAAAAGTCCTAACAAATATTTGTGGCAGTGGCTAACATTCTGGAAGGTTAATATTGGAACAACTACACCGAAAGAATCTGTAAGCTTGAATCAATCCTGGAAATGTTTGACAATTGTCAGAATTTCAGTCAAGCAGAGGGGTTTATTATGCACTAAGTCAGGAAGATGTGACAGACCTTGAAGGAATTATGTGCTTATCTTGCAAGGTCTAAGTAAGTTAGATTGCCCAGTCCTACTTTCAGAAGCATCTTAAGCATCAAAAAAATGAAGGCTCATCTGCAGTCAATAGACCTTGCAGACTCACGGATGCCTGACTGATATTTGGACTTGATCGTTTAAATCTTTAAAACCTTTCAACACAGGTCAAATTATTAAAGCAGTACCTTCAAAGAGTCTACATATAGTTGTCTAGATAGGGCCTTAACTTAATTCCTCCTCCCATTAATTTAATCCACTTTAGAAGTTATCACAGATCAAACTGGCTTTGCGTCCAGGCTTTAAGCAGCTTCACTCTTTCACAAGGCATTGAGTCAGAACATCCACAGTAAACAAAAAAAGACAACGCATTCAGTCAAGTCAAAAATAACCAGGGAAAATATTTCATTAGATTATGTTTCATTAGAATCTATTTTTTTAGATTAATGCATGCATTTTCTCCCTTCTTACTCCACCTCAGTGGGAATAAAAAAGCCTTGCAATGAACAACTCGTCACAGATGCCGCTTAGACAGGGCTCTCTGTCACTGCAAGTTCTCACTCTCTCTGCCTGTAGCTCCAAGTTTATTCTACTCTATTCCATTTTACATCACTCTTTTCTCTACACCATAAACCCCTGCAACCTGAGCCACCTCAGACACCTGTCATCACCATTCATTTTAACTGTGCACTACTCACCACGCTCATCATTACATAATTACTCTTGCACAGGGAAGAGTATTTAATTTGAACTGCATGAAGTTATTCTTGAGGCGCTGTGCCAGACTCAATCCTCAGTTATAAGGAAATATAAACCCAGAGTAACCTATTATTGCTGGATATACAGATGATTTACAACAGCATCAACAGAGTAACTGGTTGTAGAGAAACAAGGAAAAGTGCTTGAAAGATATTTACACAATTTTTGCAGTGGATTTGCATGCTTCCTTAATTATTTTATTTCCATCAATGTTATTTCAATATATGAGAGTGTGTGGACATATCAATTGTTCCAAAGGTAATGCAAAATACAAGGCAAAGGCTTCTAGAACACTTTAGAGTCACTGAGAGTGTCCCACGTGCATCTCAGTCTCATAACAGTTTATTGATCTGATAAATGATGTACTTTCCCCTGTAGTTTCTCCCTTCAGACTGCCTTCCAATCTATCTCCTGAGAGTCTTTGCAAAATAATAGTGCCAAATCTACACAGCATCTCTTATTATAGTCCAAAGGCAAGACTATATTCCAATCTATTGTAAAAAAAGTACTGAAAATCTGTAACAGGCTCTGGTACACCAGCCTCTTCTCCCAAGCCTTTCCCTGTCCTCACACAGGTTTTTCTCAGCATGTTCTTTAATGAAGACATTTTCCAGTTAAGCCTGTTCTTAGCTTGATTTCTGTAGCTGTCATTACACATCTCTTTATATGACCCCAAGCACAGTGTCTGTAGTTGGCCAACATGCAGTAAAATGCTGAAGTCTGCCTTTCTCTCAGTCAGTGTCTCAGTTTCCAACACCTGCACGAAAGCAAACTCAGGATTTCCTAATGCTGTAAGTACCACCACATTTTTTTACAGGCCCATCACCACCAGCAAACAGATGAAACAACTTCCTACTCTATCAGACCTTGCATCTAAGTGGCATAATTTCTGTCCACTAGATTTCTATGAGATTTATTTTAACTACTGTTTTGAGTAACTCATATCATCAGGCTATTCCCACAGACATGTAGCTTATATGGCTGCCAGCTGCATCACATCCCAGAGAGATTCCCTGTAGTTTCCAACTATGCCTTTAGTGTTACTCAGTTGTGCAGGATAAAGGATGCTCAAGCTTTCACAGAGGACATGCTTTAAGTGTCCTCACAGCCCTACTTTACAGAAGCAACCTACTTCAAAAAAAGGATAAATAAAAATGTTTATTCTCACAGAGACAGCACAAGTGAGATACATATATGGTTCTAGCACACTTGCACAAGTAGTATACATTTTCCTTAGCTTTTTTCATATTTATCCTTTGTCATATTTAAGCTGTCTGGAGCAAGGTCCACAGAAATAAATTAAATGCACATTTTGTTGTGCAGCAATACACAGGTAAAAGGTTTCCTGCTATATTAAGCTTACTCAGATATCCAATACAGCCCAACCTAAGGTCCAACAGTGAAGCCAAACCAGGAAAGGAATCAAAGGAATTCATATTTCCACTAGTGTTTCCCTGGGCTACAAGTGGCACACAAGCACAGCCCACTCCTAGGAGGGATCGTACAGAGGTTCCCTTGGGCTGCTGTTCCCTTTTCCAGGCTGTTCACACATTACCAATACAGAATCTCACTATTCAAGGAGGCTAAAAAGTAAATTTATCCATAGTCCACCCTGAAGGACTAAAAAATAGAGATTATGCTGAAACCACTTATGATGGAAAATGCTACATATTAAAGCAGGGAACTATATTACTGTGCTTTGAATTAACAAATACTTTTATTCTAATCAATTTTGCTAAAGTGGTGTGGCTAAAGCAGTAAAATTAACATTCTTGGCTCAGTTAATATTTTGCTAATTTAATGGGGAGTTTGCATTTTTATAAAAGCATTTTAAAAACTACAGCATTTTGCAAAATTAATACTTCTTTTATGATAATATTGTTGGTTTAATGCTTGACTTGGAATTACACTTCAAAGCAAATTGGAAAAATATGCCTTTTCTCTTGTTGTTGCAGGCATCTCTGTTCATGCACCAAAGAACTGACCTCAAATTTTAACACAGGCAGCACAAAATCACTCTTGTGTTTCAATAATTTTTTGCAGTTCAATCATCTAGTCCATCAATTTCAGATGGATTTTGCAACAACCTACCCAGGAAAGCTAAAATGATTTTAACATCATCCTTTTATATTTATTCTCTGGAAAGACCTGCACTGAATTCTGCTCTCTGCTATACCTACATTTATATATGTATACATATATACACAGATGCATACAAATATTTCCTCCAATAGTCACTGCACAATAAAGCCACCCTGAAAGTCACAGTCACTCAGGCTCAAAACTTTTGCTTCATCTAATAAGTACATTGTTTGTCCAGATTTCCTACAATAATAACACTCTTATTCCACCTCAGAGTTCGGTCTGGGAAGAGAAGGAGGTACTTGGCTGTTTGTCTGAGACTTCCAGATGTCCAGGCAGTCCCCACAGAGCAACAATTTGGACAGGCCTTTCAGAGCAATCAGTCTGAGCTGCGTGCTGTGTGAAGAGCAAGGCTTCACCATCTGGGCACAGAGGATGTGTTTTTGCACACACTGCACAGCTGGTCAGTTCTAGATACAGAGACTTGCTGTACGAGCACAGATCTTACATTACAAAGGGTATTTCTTCTATGGACATATGTGTATGTTACCTTCAAATGAAACTGCTGTCACATCACCAGGCTGTGTCGAAATCACAAAGAGTAAGATATAATCTCACTCAAACATCTGTCTACAGATAAAAGCTGTATGGAATTTTCAGTGCTTTCACACCAAGCAGCCTCTTGTGTGGGCTTTGTTGTCTCGTGTTTTGATCACTGAAACATCTTCGGTCTTGACAGAATTCATTTGCCCTGCTGGCACTTGGTCAAAGCAATGCTTCAGAAGTAATTTTTGCTGTTAATGTAGGTCACAGTGACTCTGGCTTTACTGTGTACCCTTGCTATGTGTTTAACACACCACATCTTGAAAGAAGTTCGTGATTCAGACTCAGTCTACCTGTGCCCTTCCTCATTAAAAGGTCCACTCCATTCTCCACAGCACAGGTCTCTGTTGCTAATTGGTTACATATTCAAGCAAACAAATGTTGTGGTTTCTTTACACTACTGTTAATTTTTTTTGCCTTGTGAGACATCAAAGCATGAAGTTTGTTATGCACGAGTCTGGGAGGTTTAGGTTAGATATCAGGAAAAAGTTTTTCACCAGAGAGTGGTTTGGCACTGGAACAGGCTCCCCATGGAAGTGGTTACAACACCAAGCCTGACAGAGTTCAAGGAGCATTTGGACAACACAGTCAAGCACCAAGGTGTGATTCTTGGGGTGCCCTTTGCAGGCCCAGGAGTTGGACTCAATGACTCTTCCAACTCAACATATTCTAAGAATTTTTTGACTTAGTCCAAAACGACTCCCTACAAACTCTTCCCACAGGAGAACTCCAAGGCAACAGGACAGCACTTCACCTCCTCACTGCCACTGTTCCTTGTTCCCCCTGCATGTGGTACCTCTTTCAATGCAGTGAATAATTTCAGGTCCATATTTGCACAATCACTAAAGCATCAACGTCCTAACGAAATTAAACAGCTGAGCTGGTAAGCATAAAAACAATTCTCAGCCACTATTTCTAACTATTTGAACAAACAAACACACATCCATCCTAAAAGAGGTTATAGAGGAGAGAACCTACAGAGGAAAAAAATTACCTCAGACAAATGCTGTAACTACAGCAGTAATTACATTTCTTCCTAAATACTCAGAACTTCTGATACTAGCAAAGCACTGCAAGAGAGGGCTGGAGCCAAAGCCTTTGTGGGAGAGAGCCATGAACTGCCCTGTGCCCATCACAGCCAGTTCCAATCAGCACCAACTCTGGCTGGAGCAACCTCTGAGGTGCCCAAAGGGCAGCAGCACCAGCAGGCTGGTGAGGGCTGTGGTGCCTTTGCACAGGCAGCACATGGAAGGAGTTGTTAGGGGTCAGAAACATTTGGAAAGACAGCTGGAAAAGCGCCATGGTGAAAGGGGTGTGCTGCTGGACACCATGGGCTGGGGGTGACCCACACCGGGGTGGGGGCACCACTGAGGGACCACGGCCATGGGCGACCCAGTGAAGAGAAAAATGAAGAGCAGAGAGAGCAGAAACAATGAGCAGTGAGGAGGGACAGAGAGAAACTGCTGAGCCCAGAACTGCTGATGGAAACCAACACAGGACCAGCTGCCTCAGCTGCTCCTGCACCTCAGCCAGGAGAAGGGAGGGATTGAAATGGCAACAAAAGTGCTGGGACCAGGGCACAGAGTGGGGTGTTGGACAGGAGACAGCCTGGGAAAGGCTCAGTTTGCCGTTTCTTTTCTCTTCTCAACGCCCAAACCAGTGATCAGAAGTTTGTGTCATTGGCAATAACTGACGTTAAAATTCTGTGACTCCATGCTGTTTTACACACAGCTCAGTTCACTTTCAATTAAACTTTAAATTGGAAAAAATGGCAATTAGTTTTTTTCACACTTGCTTTTTAAAAACTATTTACACAGTATTTCTGCTGTACTACGTAGGCAAAATCATTAGTTTGGATTCAAGCTACGTATGTAAGAAACTTCACTTAAAAAAACACATTTCTTTTTAATTCCTGCATCCTTCACAGTAACTATCACAACTGCTGATAAACACAGAGATTATACACCAAAAAATGGCTGGTCAGGCATCTTAATAATTACTTAGTTGAAACATGCTTTCAACTTGCAGAAGTTATTTAGATTACAGTTAATCACAATTTTTTGAAGGACAGTAAACCTTTTTTTGATACAGTATGTAATTATGTCTTTATACTACATGAGTTTCTGCTAATTATGCAATTATCATGCAAGGAGATTAATACAAAAGATATTCTGAACTGCTCGCTATCTGTTAAAAACACAGTATATGCACATATCCATAGTTCATTCTCCATAGAATCTCGATTTGCACCAGTGTCACTGGGATCATTTATTTCACAAAGGGCACTTCCCTTTTAGCAAAAAAAAAGGCCAAAATCCTCCTTACATTCAAGAAGTCGAAGACATTTTTAGGATTTATGCATTTGATAAAACCATTTACCTATAAAGTATTAGCAAAATAATATCAGCAAAGGAAAATTTATAAACCCACCAATTCCTCCTCCCCTCCAAGTCTAGTTCTGATGTCAGTTTTGGACTTGTTAAAGCCATCCTTACCCACATGATTAACCCCATTACTCTTTAAATTTAGTAAAAGCAACCCCTTGTCATAGATTTAAAACATGTACCATGGAAAACTAACTACTGATGATCTGATTTCTCACTGTTAGTAATCACCAGCAACTCCTCTGCACAGCTTACACATACCAACATTTCAGATTCCCACTGAGGAAAACATGAGCACTGAGCAGCTATGCTGGCATTTTGTCATGCCATAAGGGCTTCAGCAAAAGCTGGACCTGAATCTATTAATTCTCACATATTAATCACTTTGCACTGTATTGCAGTAGCTGAGGGGGAGACAGGTGGAAGACAAGGGGAACACAGAAACACCCTGAACTTAAAAAATTAAGGCAATACAGGAAGTTCAAGCAAACCAAAAAAAACCCACATATTACAAGCCCCAAAATCAAGACAACTTGTTTAAGGGGTTTCAAATTGCAAGTCATGGACAAACAGTCTGAAATCTCTGTCACCTGAAGAATCTTGCACTGGAAAAACACAGTGTCTGTCCAGTGGGTTCAAATGTCACGTTATCCATCACCTGTCTGCAGCATTTTTTTTGTGATGTAAAACATGACAGATGGCAAGAAGTGATGGAAGAAAAAAAAAAAAAGAAATCCTGAGACACTCACAGCAATTATATTGAAGAAGTCATCATCTCCAAGGGTATCCAAAATTGATGAAACTGTCTGTTTTGCAATAGTCAAGCGAAGCCCTTTCATACTGCCACTGACATCCACTAAAATTACCACATCTTTTGGAGAAGTTGCTGCCTGGATGTACCTGAGACACAAGACAGAACAACTCCTTTTAGATAAGAACTTTTTATCCTTTCAAATTTCTTAAACACCTGTAGTCATTGCCTACCATTTTCTGTTTCTGCAGTCAAATGCAATGACTCCATTCTCATCAGGTTCCCATTTAATTCCTGTTTAAAAAAGAGAGAATAAAAGATGAAATTACATTTTCACAGTACCTGTTCAAAATGTATCTTTGGTATTGGGGCTAAGTAGGGGTTAATAGAGTTTCATACTTTAATCTAACAGGCAGAGCCATTATAACATAGGAAATAGTAGGGGAAAAATAAAATTAATAAAATAAGACCATCAGAAATCTTTTTTTCCTCACTCCTTTTTAGCCTACTGTGAGGTGAAAACCTCTGAAGGCCTACTATGTTCATTGTACTACTTTCACAGAAGTGTTTTCACACTTGGCCTTTGGTGCTGGCAAGCTTTATCATGTGCTTGCCAAGGCCCTTCCAGACCTTGAGCACTTCCTACCCATGGCTGATCTCAACAGCTCTTGTTACACCAACTGCTTCTCTCACAGGTCATACTCCTGATGTTTTGCTCACATCACTGTGAAGGGGTAATAAATATCTCCTGGTTGTGGGTCAAAAGAAATACAATAAAAACATTTCCAAGGAAAAAAAATTGACAGGATAATTCTTCCTCTTTTTTTTTTTTTTACGCTCATTTTCGAGCACAAAACAAGAAACAGCCTCTAAAACAAGGACTAATATTTCTCCTACCCTGAAATATCACGGAGCTTGGGAACTGAAATACAATGGAAAACTAACACAGATGTAGCAACCATTACTTTCAGGCACTTGCAGACATCCAGGCTTAGAGTAAACTTGTTTAAATCAGGACTTAAAAAAACATGGGTTGCTAAACCACGTCAGTTAAAGGAACAGTCCCCACTTTGGCCTGATCCAAAGTTACAGAAGCTGAGAACCAGTGTATTTGACTTTTTGGTTTATTATAATGTGGTAAATTTGGTATGGGATTAAACATAAAACTTAATAGGTGAAAATACACGTTTTAACCTATTTCAATAGAAATAATACAAGTGATGTAATTTCATTTTATTACAGTTTGTGAGAAAATAAACTTTAAAGCAAGTTTTTGAAAACTTTAAATGTAAGTATGTCAGGTTAGGTGGAAGCCTAGAAGCTGAACAACAAATTATAATGAAGTCTAACTCTATGCATTGATAGAACACATTATTTAAATTCACTCCTATATGAAGAGTCTAATCCTTTTGCCCTCCTTCTTCACAGTCTGTTTATAAGATATTTTTCATGTGTGTGTATATGCCTACCTGAATAGGAATATTTATGAGTACATGAGTTATCATGAGGGCTTCACCCCCAAAATGAAAATTGGTCGAAAAAATTCAGAAGGTTGAAAATGTTGATTAGAAATCTCTCTCTCTGAAAACTAGATAAAGTAAAACCAAACCTGCAAATATCTGTTGAAGTCAGGATTTGTGACAATACTCAGTGGAAATTTTCAACCATAGCATTCTTTATTGTATTTTAAGTAAGAACTTCTGTACTTCTTACCTGGATATTGCCTGAAAAATCCTTTTGCACTTCCAAAGTACTGCCAGATGAGAGAAGGGTCACGATCAAAATTGTCAACAAACACCTTATTTAAAGATTCTGACCAATAAACTCCATTTACAATGGCCGGGTCTGGAAACAAACAACAGACAAACAACATACACACAAAGAAAAATTATTTTATCTAAGTAGAATCCCTTGAACTCTATCATCTTCAGCTCATTCAATACCCAAAAATCTATTGACAGCAAACTATTGTAGAACATTTTTATTTTCTTTTGTCAAATAAATGATTCAAAATAAATTATTTGCTCAAATAACAGAAGTATGATTAAAACAGAGCAGAGACACCAGGTACATTTTTTTAGATAAGTTAAAATTGCTCATTAGACCATCTATCTTGAACTACTCTATCACTTGTCCTGAAGAACATAAATAAGTCAATCTAACAACAGATTATTTACTCAATTTACCTTCCCTAAATGCGTGGAATGTCTCATGGACACACTCTATATTTTTTTAACCTTCAACTCGGTAAGATCATTCTCACTAAATCTGAAAATTTCCATGTTGGAACAGAAAGTGAAATACCTTTTATTTCACACTTGAATTATGACATACGTACAAAAACAAAATCTCATGACAAATAACACTAATATTATTAGGAAAACATTGAACCCACATTTCACAACATTTACCCAATTCTCTTTTATTCCCATTAAAAGTAAACTACAAAGTAAATCCTTGATGTTGAAACTGTTCTGTTTAAAACATCCCCATCTATCAATCCCTAAAAGCACAGGCAGCCCAAGCCCATTTTAAAGCTGCAGATTTGGTCTGACAGTGGGAAATGAGAAATCAATGAACATGTCTTAAAAACTTACTGAATTTCAAACCATGAATTTTGAAAGGTGAGAAACAATTAGGATACACCATATTCCCAAATCAATCTGTATGTGAAGTCAGCAGAATAGAAAGGAAAAAACTGAACTGAAATCACAGCTGCATTATTTAATTTGCAAAAGTGTGCATACATGAATACACAGTAACATTTGCTCAAGCATTTGAAATAAAGCAGCCATTAGCTTGCAAAATAATGTTGCTGGACTGATTTCTGAAGACTGCTTGGAATGCTATTTTAATGGAGTGGAAAAAAGGTGAATTGTTATCTTCCCTGGCATTCATCAAGAAAAACAGAAGAAAAAGGGAAATCTCAGCTACACAAGTTTGCATGTTGCTTTCACCTAAATATTTAGGTTTATATAGACGGAATGTGAAAAAGCAAGGTCAACAAAACAGCTGTTATTTTTAAAAACTGTCAAGTATAGTTACTTCTTTCTCTAGAGGAGGAAATATACACTTAAAATCTATCCAACCAGACACATATCAAACAAACCAATGTCCTAGTCCAAGGGTACTCCTTCAGCTTAGTCTAGCCAGCAACATCCATTGTCCGGTTGTTTCCCAGTCTGCAGTTACCCCAGTAACAAGCTGTGACCAAGACATCACAAATTAACTGCCAAGACTGGGATCTATCATCAGTTTATAAAAATATGTTCCTGTTTCAGCACTCCAAAATGTCAATCCGTTGTTCGGCATTTGGACATTACCTGAGGGGTGAAGCCCTAAAATGAGAATCCTCTCCTCAGTCCACTGGAACTTCCCAGTTCTGGTTCAAACACTGATATTCTTATTCTGCTTCTTTTCACAAGTTCTAGTGGAGTATGTAAATCACTAAAAGTTGCTGTGGCATTATTGACTCAGCATTACAATACTGAGATAAGGTGGTAAATTTAATTCGTCTTTGAAAAGAGCAACGAAGTTTAGAAGGGTCGGGTTTTTTGTTCATTCTGTTTTTCTAGTCTTGCTAGAAAAACCTGCTTACAGTTAAAAAGAAGGAACCATTTCTCAAGCCTCCAGAGGGCTACAAGATCTTCACATGCCCTTCAGTCTGCAGGATCAGTGAAAAGCCAAACAAATCAAACAGAATAATTTTATCCTAATTTATATTTTAAATAAACTGCAGTGGTTCTTAGCAACTTACATTTGGACCTCATTCCAAGACTGCACATTGTACCTTAGTGTTTTACTGTCTTATCAATTCCTCACATGTCTCTTAGGGCTAACTTTTAATGCCCTTTCCTAATGAACCTTTGCTATAGTGCCACTTGTGAGCAGAACTTTCACTCTGCCTTCCAACCCAATAATAATTTTCTTTCAATTCTATAAACACTCCAGCTCCATAAGGTCATGGAACAACTGTAGTCAGCCACCTCTTAAGCTCTAAACTGAATGTGAAGTCCTCCCAATGGCATTTGAAAAAATATATCGATGTATAAAAAATAGAAATATAAATCACTTTTAAGAATCACATTAAAATATCTATGGATATTTTGGATTACTTTTCTTGGCCCATCTATGAAGAGCCACCTAACATGTTTATATATATCTGTACTACAGAGTAGAGAGCTCCATGGAAATAAAATCAGGAGGTTTTCCTTGAGTGTGACTGGTAGAATCTATATTCTGCATCAAGTTAACAACACTAATCATCCAAATGCTGATCACTGTAAACATTAATCTAGTGATTCTGAAACTAATAGAATCTTTTTAACTGAAAGGAGCATAAAGGAGGGATTTTAAATAAAAGGGCACAACCAAAACGTGACCTATGTTGACTGGGTTCCTTCAGAATGAAAGCTGGTGACAATTCACTGCCTTCCCACACCCTGCATGTCTGTTATTCTGGCTGTTCTTTTTAAAATGTATCAAGTTACATTTTGTGCAACCATTTTTATAAAAAAAGCAAATATGGCCACAATCAGTTGCATCCTTAGAATACAAAGAAAAGGAAAGTAATGGGGAAAAATGTACCTACAGCACCAAACAGCAGACCTGTGTGGAAATTGGACAACTTTACTGGCTCCTGAACCTTCAGGCTGAGGGATTAAAACTGGAGCTCCTTGTTCTAAATCTGATAATGCTGTGATGTGGATGCATCTCTGTCCACATGCATCACCCCAAATACAACTGAGTTACTGACCATCTGTCCTCATAAAAATTTTACAGTCTCATCATCTAATAACCTGTATGTTAACCTTGTAGTTCTGGGCAATTTCCAATTTTAATAATTACACTAAATTGTTTAAATTGCTCCCAGTACTTCACTTAGAAACAGCATTCTTAAGTTTTTAAATTACTGCTGAACAACATTTGCACCCCAAGATACTTACATGTCAATAGTAGTAAATTAATGCTTGTGAATATTCAGAAATTTGGGGAGGGAGAAAAAGAATAAAAGGTAAAGCTTAATATAAATACAAAATCATTAATGTGATGTTATGGGGCTCAAAGATAATAAATGTAAATAGCTTTCACCACAGTTCTTGAAATATAATTTCTGCTTTTGCTTCCTGGAGGCTAAAAGATAATTAAAATATTTCCTTTCCCTTGCCATTTAGATGAGTTGGCTTGCAATTATATGGGATTTTGCTCTACCATTGTTTGTATAGATGTTACCTGTTTTTACTGATATTTAACACAAAACCAACCCCCAGGCAAATAGGTACAGTGACAGGGAACTGAAACGAAATTGCCAAAGGACAGCACAAATGCATGTAGCAATTAAGTTGCTGTCATAGATCCTGCTGACCTGAAGAGAGAGGTCTGAAGTCTCAAAAACAGCAACCATGGTGTGCAGTCTGAAAGATGTGCAAGAGCATGCCAAGGGTAATGAATTGGTTGGGTTTTTTAGTCACAGGATCCATAAAAGTATCTAGACTATAAAAAGGCTATGGAACGAAACTAATACACACACAACTCATTTCGCATTCCAATTATCCCAGCAAGTTTTACAGAAAATAAGGGAGACCACACTAAAGAATGTGACTATGAAGGAAGTGCAGAATACTTCTCTTTCTTGCCATACTCTGCTTTATTATCAAGGAAAGAAGTTATTATTGATTCTTAAGCTTTTTTTCCCCTATTACAGGACTTCTGTGATATAATCATTATTTTCTCCTGGAAAGCTGTCACAGATGCTGGCACTGAGAATGGTGTTCCTTCTTGTAATATCTGACAGCCTCAAGGGCGGCCCTTAATGTTGCACAGCAGTCCTGTGATATAATAAAGCAGTACAAGCACAGCTTACAGGGCCCAGCCCTGGAAAAGGAATGTACAATCCAACACTCTTCTGGCTCAGAGATAGCAACAATATTAGCTTAGTTTTTATGACACTGACAACATATTTAGTCTGATCATATTTTAAAGAATAACAAATAACATACTTTGCTGGGACATATACCAACAATCTAATAATTACACTACTAAACACTAATATGAATGCTTTTCAGGGTGGTCCAGCACATTCAAGAGCTGGGGCTGGATGCCAATTTTGGCAACTGCCTTCCCTTTTTTCTCTCTCTTCCCCTCCCTCTGACTCCACTGGGTTATGTGGATGCATCATCTCACAGATCAAAGCATCTGGCCATCTGCAGACATAAAATTAGGTGTTTGTCCATTTTGCTTCATGTGCTGGGAACCATTCACCAACGTCAGAAATCACATTCCCTCCTTGTAAGTATATGGGATGGTAAAGACTTCAAGCACATGACTGTATAAAGGCATAGTAGTAGGCATTTAGTGCCTTCATCTTCCAACATTGCCCAAATAACTTTCCCCTTCTCCTCTGAAGTGGCAGCAGAAGAATTGAAGTATGGCCAGACGTGTTTATTTTTATGTTGAGTTTCATAAGTGCATTTGGGTGTTGATCTGGGTTGTTTTATGGTGCTGAGGTTTTTTTGTTTTAATTTTTTTTTTTTATTCAAGGTGGCCTGAGATTCAACTTTAGTTCATTTGAAAGCCAGAATTACAGCTGAAAACTCCTCACTAACACCACTGTAGGATAGAGATTCATTTCTGTCTCTGCTAAGAGTTTGCCATTTAATGAGTTATTAAAAATGACCTACAGCAAATCAGTGGACATTTGAGGTCACCCATGAGGTACTGACCTGGTTGGACCTCGCTTAACTTATTAGATGAAACAGCTAAAGGCAACCAATATGTGGTTGAACTGTAAGTAGGTTGGAGTAAAGCTCTAGAAACTGTATATAGGCACCATCTATGAACACAGA